TTTAAAAATATAATCGGCCATCAATCTCCATAAATTATCCATGGAGCTCGTAAATATTATTTAAAACTTCCACGTCCAAAGCATAAATCGCCTCATCTCAACGTGATCAATGTGGGTTTTCAAATCGAAGCTTCTAATTTAATAAAGTCGAAGTTTTTAAAGTTTTTCAGTTTGTAATCTCTTATTTTTTAAAGCTTTAGAACTGAAACAGCAGCCCTAGAGCGACATCTTCTAATTAGCCTTCCACTTAACAAAAAAGAGACTTATTGAACTTTTAATTGACAAAAGCTTTAGCTATTCAGATTTATTAAATTCTCCACAGTAACAAAGACGCTAATTGAATAACCCTTCACAAACACATGCCGTTTCAAGTCTCTTATCAATGTTGAGTAAAAACTTTGAAACGAACGAACTTTCGGTTCTCAATGGATGCTTGGGGTCAAAAAAACCGACAAAGACGCGTTCCGATGGGAAAACTTTATTTTATCGAATGCAAAGAAGGAGAAAGTTATGAAGCTGAGTGGATCACAGGCGAAATTTGATATCACATGAATTTTAAGCGCTGAGTGAATGAAGCCGATACTAGGCGGGTTCATTGTGCGCCTTTACAAGTCGTTTATAAATGTTACCTTTCCTCAAAAGTTCAAAACAATTTTACAGGTAAATGAGTGATCATTTCTGAAACTTTTTGCATAGTTTAAGATATTTGGTTCATTTGCTTATTATACCCTTTGCAACTTTGTTATTCAAATTTGCACTTTATTTTAATTCAAATGTTGTTCTCTTCTGAAATTATTAATTGCGACATTAAGAGTGATTCAAAATTGGCGTTTCTTCTCTGGAGTTTTTCTCGRGGGCAATAMAGAAAAAATAAWATAAAAAAGATAWTTTTTACGTAAAACTGAGATATTGACACATAATTAAATAAAATAAYACATGTACTTTTATTACGTTAGCTTTACACAACATCAATKTTCATTGTTTAAAATAATGTTTGGTCTCATACCACCGATTRATGTTAAATAATGGAGTTATTATAGAGCGGTAGYTTTCTAGCCCTTCGTCAAATAATTACTTGAGTTGCTTAAACATTAACTTGTCGTTTATGTTAATGTTTACAGAACCTATTSTTATAAAAGTCCAATCTTACCTGAATACGTCTATCTCTTATACCACTTCTAATCAGTTGCTCTTTCTTCWATMATTTTTTTTGTTTTTGTTTYCATTAAGTTTTCGTGCGTACAATTGGTTTGAGCGAAAGAATAGAATAGGCTCTATWGCAARTGAAATGTCCGCATTTATGAAATATATTAATGTAGCGAAACCAAAAAGGCCCCTCCTTGACAAAAAGTTAAACCRCAATTGACCAAAAGTGACCGGCWWGAATCTTAAAGTAAAACTTATATGAAAGAACTGGAGCAAAGTTTTCAGACCATAATACTTTTATCGATGCTTATATCCAGGTTTTACGGTCGCACGTTCTGTTTTGCAATATCTCTTAAATGCCAAAGATTCACATACAATGGTTAACTTTCCTAGTTTTCTCATAGCCCCATCCCGATAGGATCAAGGAATTTCTAATATTTAGGTTGGCGCCCTTTCGTTGTCTGTTGAACCATTTACAGGCCAACGATCCTGAAAATTAAAAACGTACACTTAAGCCTGATAACTTGAATTATTGATTAATGAGGCTACTTAGCGTTGAAAAATGAAATTTGAAATTGTTTAATCAATTTATCAAAAGTATTTAGTCAAAAATTACATTGACTGATAAAATAATCCTGTTTTTGGTAAAACCACTGTAGAAGATGGGCTTCAGAAACTTGTTTTCTAAGCAAATATTGATGAACGAACTTTTCGCAATTTGGGATCTAAATATTTTATGTTTCAAATGCAAAAGGCATTCTGCATAAGTTGACGTAGAGGCGTCTTGAGGCTCAGATGCCACAATATCATATTTCCATTTTAAAAGGTTTCGAAGAAATATCTGCGCTCCGTACCCTCATTCGGCTCAAAAGTCGGCGAAAGCTCTAAACACAAACCTTCCATATGTGATGAGGATTAGAGTAAATCTGAAAATTTAATAAATATATGTCCGTTCTGACATGGGACACGTTTATGTTTTCTGCGATTTCTATCGCCTTCTTTGCCTTTACAAGTACAGGGTGTTTCATAAAACATGAACCAACTATCAGAGTATATAAGCCCCAACTTAAACTGAGATTTTTGAGGATTTTCTTTAAAGCGCCTGTAGGTCTCAGTGCCACTGAACATGCCTCAAAAACCAAATTAATTTAAACTAACACACTTACACAACAACGAAAAAAAGCAAAAAATAATTTACATGGAACAAATTCAATCGCGTAAATATATTAACTGATACTAATGTAAAAATTTTGTGAAACTTCAACATTCTGTAACTGAGAAACGAGGCGATTGCGAACAATATTCATGGATAATGCATTCTATATTCAGGCGATCGATTCCCATTGCACATTTTTTAAAAGACCCTGTAATTTACTTTTCGGCTATCCTGCCTTTAGAATTTCCAGGTAAACAAAGTAGGAATAACCGATAATAATTTGCATTATTTGTTATCCTTCAGTTTAAAACATATTAAAGTAAGCAAGCAAAGATTAGTTCCTCAGCAATAGCACTGTCTTCAAGCTACATTCTTGCACTAAGGGGAATTATTTAGCTAATTGTCGAAACAGTAACGAAGATATTTCAACTTCCAGTTGGAAATAAAGCCTATTGAACGAAAATTCCAGAACATTAACTGTTTTCGTTTTCCTGATTCGCTCTTTGCTGCCGTTTTGTTTTCCTCCGGCAAACGTCTATTAGTAAACTTGATTAGGGGACTGCGGTTTTATTGTTGTAGGAATTAGGGCCGAATGCTACTAGGCAAAACTGTTTAGTCTTGTTTAAATTTCCTAGAACGTGATCCGTTTCAGCGTCAGTGGAAAGGAATATTAAATATATTCGAGTTTTATTGGATAGAGTGATAAAAATTTTACAGGGGTTCTTTGATGAGGAGTTTTATGTTGTTGGTTATATTAAGGGCAAAATCCTTTTACAACAGAAATTCGCATCAGAGTCAACATTGTTTATGTAGATTTTCAAATTTCAATCAAGCTCGGAGAGGGCAAAATAGGCTTTCGAATAATTTGTTAACTTGTTAACTATATATATCCCTATATATAGGATAGCTTACGCTAACAAGTAAGTTGTGATCTAAGTAATGAAAAAAAAATGGTGTGCGTCACGGGACGCTCGACGGAAGTGATAACGTCATAAATTAATAGAAACTATAAAATATTGAACTTGTTGAACGCATGATGGCAATAATTATTTTATTTTATAATTTTGATGTCCTTGTTGATCTAATAATTTATAAATGGATCAGGAATAGATAAAATTTAATTTAATTTCCTTTTGAATGTAAAACATTTTTTTTATTTGCAACATTTAACATTCTTTAACGAGATGTTGTACATATTACTCTTCTTGGGTTTGTGTAAACTTTTCTTCTTGAGTTTCTGTATTTTCTAGTCGTAATTTCTTATTTGCTTTGTATAATCTTTGACGTTCAGCACTAGTTCGTGGTTGATGAAAGCTACTTTGAGTTGATCACCAGACTTAATGCTAATTTTTTAGCACGAAATCGTTTTTCGCGTTCAGCATTACTTAATACTGTTCGCATTGTAGCATGTTTT